CTTTTTATGCTCAGCTACTAAGATTTCCCTTCAGTGGTAAAATTCAATATCTACAACGGGCACAGTAAAGACGTTTACTGTAAGTCTTTCTACGACAGACCAACGGACCACGAGTGCCCCTGTCGGTCAACCAATCACGTACCGCGGTACCGCGCGTCATCTTTCGTCACAATGCGCGACACCGTAGCCAATTACCTCCGGTACGTGTCTGTACCGCGCATTTTGAATGGCTGCATCTGTACATGAATTGTGCATATAAAACATATACAGTAACAGTCTGCCTGGATACAGATGGTAGATCTTACTGTGAGGGTTATCAAAGTGCAAGGTATATAATCACGAAGAGATACAAAACACAAAGAGATACAAACAAAGAATATGCTTCAGTATACCATTTGGCTATACTATCGTTAATCAGTTTCATTAATACCACTTCTACATTAGATACTCAGAAGTAAATACATTGCTCATGATATCAACTTGTGTTGAGGTAACGAATTCTCGAGATGCAAGGAAGAACATTGGGCTTACTTATCCAGATACTGATTCGTATTTCTCGAAACAGACACCAAAGACCAGCTAGCAGCTGCGTACAATTACTGCGCCATTCAATAGGCGCAGTAATTGTACTGGCTTCCTCTGGCACCCAGCCAACCAGTCGGGGTGCAGATCAGAGTCTGACAAATTTGTGCTGTGGCAATGTGCCCGACAGTGTCTCTCTCAGGGACCTACTAGTAGTGCAGCTGACTAGAAGAAAGTCTCTATGCACAGAGGGCGACTGCGGGTCCGATCAAGTCACTCTTTAGGGGGAAGAAACTTGGTTTGCTTCTGGTGTAGCGCTGCTGCTAAATTATAATTTAACTAACAAACATTAACATAACAGCCTAGTCTAGCACAGCAGCAACAGAAAGAGCCATTAAAGGGAATTATGTACTCACATTTAAATATGTTTAATGAAACAATATGTTGCCTTGCACATCGAGGGGTCCCCTGGTGATCTCAGATCTCCAGGTAGTTCACCTGTGCCCAGGGTTGGTCCTGTTTGCAGGTACAGTAAACCATCAGTTTGACAGGCTTCTCAAACTGTTCGTAAAATCAGAAATGCCTTTCCTTTCCCTGCAATAATGAAGGAATTCACAAATATTAAAATAAGATTAAAATAGTTTGAAAAATAAAATTCAGGAATATCAGTGGGGCATTATAAGGCTGAGTCACGTGCTTGATGGGTTTCATTTGTTTCAGTGAATCTTATACAGTACAGTATATTTATGACACAGCTTGTGCTGTATATTTATGACATATGACAATTTTCATAGTGATGATTGTAATTCTTAAAAAAATAAGTCAAAAGAAACAGAAAACAAATATTTTAGTATAATCTATATATAATTGTGTGTTTTGGGTTGAAAAAAGTCACTGCGATTTAACAGACATTCAACAATAATGGACCCCTTCCCCCTATTAGTCTGTTAAACCAAGGATTTACTGTGTTCACCCAACCTTGTTTCTTGAGTTTCATTATAATTGACTATATTTCTCCTGTGTGTTACTGTACTGTTACTTTATTTTTATCAATCAAATACATGTGATTCTGAAAGTAATTGGGTACATGTGAGCTAATTTAGAATCACTGCTATAAGTGGGTGGACTCTTATCCACTATTTGTTTGCTAAAAATGTTGTAGAATATTTTTCACTTGGATGTTGAAGGTAGGATGTCAGGTCCAAACTATAAGACAACAAAAGTTGACAATTTTTCAAGGGAGTTCTATAGACACTGTATATGTACTCTTGTAGTGTGTTTACTGTGCACATTCTGTTACTGTATTCATAAATCATTTATTGTGTACTTTTAATCCATGTGCAAATATTGCTTTTACTGTACCAATTTCTAATTGTTCCAATAAATTCAATTATCACATCAATTCAGTGAATGCATATTTTAAATATTTTTTTTAAGAATAGTGTATTCCAGTAAATATTATGACACATTTGGCTTTTGCCGCAATGGTCTGTCAACATCATGAATTAATTTCAGCTCAGCTTTCCGATATCTAGAGTAGGGCAGAACTAGTCTTCATTCTTAGGAATGGAAATATCCACTGTGTGGAAACTCTCCTTATGATAGGGTGAGTCTGTAAGGCTGTGAGAGAGCAGAACATGACTATCAGAGGGACATTAAAAATGAGGAGTTGCTGCCTGGAGGTCTGATGGACTGTGTCTGTGACTGGACATTATCTGTGTCCATCTGTTCTGATTGTGTCTTACTCTTGCAAATGTAAACCTCAATAGGTGGTGCCCCTATAAGAGATCTATCAATACACTGCCAGTGTTTCTCCTGCAGCCTCAGACTGTGTCTTTATTATCATGTGTTCTGTCTGTTTCAGGGTGGCTTCAGACACTGAAAGACAAACACAAGGAAGCTCTAAAGAGGAAGTTTGAAGTTGTGTCTGAGGGAATTGCTAAGCCAGGAGAGCAGACCCTCCTCAATGATGTCTTTACACACGTGTGGATAACTGAGGGCAGCTGTGTTGAGGTGAACCATGGACATGAGGTCATGCAGGTAGAGACCGTCTCCAAAATCACAAAATCAGAGATCCGCTCCATCAAGTGCAGCGATATTTTCAAGCCACTGCCAGGACAGACAAGACCCATCAGAACTGTACTGATGAAGGGAGTCGCTGGCATCGGGAAAACATTCTCTGTGCAAAAATTCATTCTCAACTGGGCTACTGGAAAAGATAACCAGGATTTCGATTTTATTTTTTTTCTTCCATTCTGTAAATTGAATTTGATCAAATCAGAAATGAGTTTACAGGAACTTGTTCAGTGTTTCTGCCCAGAAATTAAATCATCTGCTAATATTTTAGACTGTTGTAAAGTCCTGTTCATCTTTGATGGTCTGGATGGAAGCAGACATCCTTTAAATTTTAGAAGAAACCAGATCTGGTCTGATGTGAAAAAAACAACTTCAGTGGACATATTGATAATAAACCTCATCAATGGTAACTTTCCTGTTGACGCCTCCATCTGGATCACTTCCAGAATGGCTGCAGCAGGTCTGATCCCTCCAGAGCTCATCAGCAGGATGACAGAGGTCCAGGGGTTTGAAGACCAGCAGAAGGAAGAATACATCAGAAAGAAGTGTAAGAAAAGAGCTCTAGCAGACAGAATTATTTCACATTTAAAGACACAGAGGAGTCTTTACATGATGTGTCATGTCCCTGTTTTCTGCTGGATTGTAGTTACTATTCTGGAGCACACATTGGAAGAGAACAGTGGGGAGAGTCCAAGAACTCTGACAGAGTTCTATACAAACTTTCTGCTTGTCTTACTGACAGCAAAGGAAGAGAAAGAAGAGAAAGAAAATCTCCTCAAGTCATATCACGAAGCAATTCTGAAGCTGGGAAAGCTGGCATTTGAAAGTCTGGAGAAAAACATCATTGTGTTCAATGACAAAGATCTGAAAAAGTACAACATTGATCTTAACAACTGTTCACTTCACTCAGGGTTGTTCAAGGAAATATTCAAACAAGATTCAGTCTTATTTCAGGAAAAGGTGTACTCCTTTTTACACCTGACTGTCCAGGAGTATTTTGCAGCTCTGTATGTTCTAGGTTCCCATCAAAACAGCAATATTAACCCACTGGAGAAAGGAAACCCACCAGCTTCAACACTGTTCAGTTTGAATGAAGTTGTCCTGGGAAGGGCCATCCAGAGCAGGACTGGTCACCTTGACCTGTTTGTCCGATTCCTTTTGGGAATGGGAATGGAGAACAACCAGGAGCTTTTGAAGGGATTCCTGTCACACTCACAAGATCACTCCAGTGACATCCAGAAAACAACAGAACACATCAAGAAACTCATTAGAGAAACGTCCTCTCTTGAAAGGTGTTTTAACCTTTTCCACTGTCTGAGAGAATTGAAGGACAAGTCTTTAATGGATGTGTTCAATGTGACTCTGGATAAAGTAAAACGTACAGGACAAAGGCTCTCACCTTCCCAGTGTTCAGCACTCGCCTATTTCTTACTTCTGTCTGAGAAAGAGATTGATGTCTTCAACATGAGTGAATATGCTACATCAGAGGAGTGTGTACGGAAATTGCTTCCTGTGGCAAAGATAACAAAAACCATTAGGTAAGTACCTCAGATTTACTTCACATACAAGGTCCAAACTGTCCCTGTGAGGGGACTTCTGGCTGGTACTCAGTGAAGTAGATATATTCATCTTATACTCTAGCACACTTTTTATTTTTCAACATTAAATCCCACAATTAACTATTTTTTACTTTTTTAAATTATTTGTTATTGATTCTATTGTACAATGTCTAAATATAAAGCTAAAGGCAGTTTGCCAAGTGAAATGCTTACAGTTCATCCTTCAGACACTTCAGCTGCAGATGTAATGTATCATGTTACTATTTCTTCTCTGAGTTTTTTTCTTTCTTTTTTGGACCTGCGGGAAAAAATGTACTTGAGCCCCCGTTCTCATGTGCACAGCCCAGGGCCTTGCTCTGTCATCATGTGCTTTTACCTGTATGAAGTCAGGGAATCGGTGCTGCGGGCAGCCAGGGTTCATGCCAGTTTCGAGACCTCCGTGTGCTATTTGTTTCCAAGGCAGCTGTTTTGGAAAGGGGTTGGGTTGGGCTGGGAGAGGCTGTAGGGATTTTGTTTTCTTTCTAACTTTTTTCTGTTTATTTTATGGTCTAGTTTTTTAATTATTTGGATATTGTACATTCCACTATATCACTCTCCCCCATTGGCTAGTGTATTTTATAATATACCTCATACTAAATTGCAATTAATCAAATTAATACAGTTAACGTTGTGACCTGGAATATTGAAGGTTTAAATCATCCGGTAAAATGATTTAAGAATGAATGACAGCTGAAGGTAGGAATTGCATTCCTTCTGAAAACTTTGTCTTGTCTCTGACTAGTTTGTGTCTGTAGATATTGCACAACTCAGACTTGCTACAGCCTGAAGCAGGCAAGGACTGTACAGATGAAGCCCCTATACCACACTGCAGTACACCACCCACAGAAAGATCACTGGCCAAAGAAGATTGATAGGTGGAACTTGTAGTGTATTAGACATTAGAGAAAACATTAGCTTTATTTAATCTGTTGCCTTATTTCTTTAAATGCACTTAATATAGAATATTAATATCCAATCATGTAACTAAAGGGAATTTTTTATATCTGAAAATAATAAGTTTCTTAACATCATTAACAATATTAATTTATTATTTAAAATATGGCTGCTGTCTGAAATATATTTATACATGAAATACAATATATTTATATAGCTGGTAGTGATTGCATATTCTACATTTTTCATAATCATTGGTATGGAATTGTTTAACTCAGTCACCTGTGGTTATTTTGGAAATATGCTTGTTTTAATTACATTTTGCTGTTTTTATTGTTGTAATGGAAGATGAAAGGCTTGTGAACTGAGTGATGTTTACGTTAAGTGGTAGAATTTTCACCTGTGAGACAGCTCTCGGGCTCAATTCCTGACCAATGCAGTATTTTACTATCAAAGAAAGACTCTTCCTTCAGTAGTAAAATACTATAATGTGTACTATACTGACTTATACTATTTAGCAAAATAGTTAGCAAATTGTGTATACTGTGAGTAAAAAACAGTTGTACCAGATGTTCAGAGAGAGTCAGAGAATTTAAAGATGCCCTTAAGCAGAAATCACAGTTGAGGTTTTTAAATGCATGTTTGTTTTTAAATACTAATCATTAAAGCCACTATGCATAATACATTTTATAATTAAAATTTAAAATAAGAAAGAGGAATTAATAAGACAAAAATTACAAACTTTGTTTGATATTTTGATATTCTACAACAATCTTCCTCCTCCCCCTTCTTCTCCTCTTTGATGATGAGGACACTGGGACCCCTGCAGAGTGAGAAGGGGGAAAAAAGGAGGAGGAGGAGTGTGACAGATGAAACATGAAAAAAGAGGGATTTGATATCATGAGAATTTCAATGAGACAGGTCATGTTGGAGTATGACCATCATGGTCTTTAGCATTAATATACATTTGCAGATTTACACGGTTTAAACTGAAGAGCAGTGCTTTTCACAGGAGTTTGTTTCTCAAAGTGATTCTACTCAACCAGATAGCTTTAGTAAATTGGCAAAAGTCTGTATTTTCAGATTGATTTCATAAAGGAAGATCAAATTATATTTTGGTTAAGTGACTACAGTAGCTCCGGGAACTCATGTATGAATTGTATGATCATGTTAAAAGCAGAACTGCAGTCAATAAAGATGATCAGGAAGTTGGCTATAAGTCATTCAAAAACTTTAATAATAATAGACGTCAAGGATACTGATCTGTAGTCATTGAGGCAGCTCACAGTGAATTCCTTCGGTACTGGTATTAGTAACCATCCATATTAGTAACCATCAAAGAGTTTATGGTAGGGGTGGGAGGGATCATCTACTATACTGGAGGCCCTGTGTATGCAGCGTTTGTGATAGATGACAGAAATGGAAGGGAGGGAGGCTCCAATGGTCTTTTCAGCTGTTTCCACAATTCGTTGCAGGGTCTTGTGGTCTGAAGCGTTGCAATTCCCAAACCAAACAGCAATACAACTGGTCAAGGTGCTCTCAGTGGTGCTTCTGTAGAGGGTAGTAATAATGGGTGGGGGAAGGTTTGCCTTCCTCAGTCACCGCAGGAAATGGACGCTGCGTGCTCCTTAATACGTATAAGGAGAACTCAGTTAAAAAAATAACAAGCAAAACACAAAGAGCAAACACTGTCACCCCGGTCAGTGCCTACTTGATCCTGCTCAAGGAAGGAGTGGCCCTCAGCCATTAGCCCATGATGTCATTTTTGAGCGTCTGATTTAGCTGTACCCCTCCCATTCACCAATAAGTTACAAGTGTATTAAATGTTACAAGTTACAGGTGTGTCGTATGCCCCGGTCAACCAAAACTCAAACTCAGCAGACACAGACTGCAGCCCATTGTCAGTGGTGATGGCCTACTGGGCAAAGAGGGAATCCAGGAAGTCAGTGACCGCTTCAATAGTGACCGATCCAGTGGAGGCCACTTCTGGCCATTTTGTGTGCAGATCCTAGGCCATGGGGTATGCTGGATCCACAGATGTCCAGCTGGAGAGGAGGTGGTGCAGGGGCCAATGTTTTACCGCTTAGGTGGCAGGATTCACAGTTCCTGAACAGTGTTTCAATGTTCCTGTCAGATCTTTGCCTCAGCAACAGATCCCAGCACCACCGTTTGACTCTAACTCTCACGCCAGCAGCTATATCACCCTGCAACCCACAACTGGCAACCTACTGTAGCTCAGCAAGTTTGAGCCTGGCCAGTACCAGGATGGGAGACCTCCAGAGAAAGCTAATGTTACTGCTGGAAGAAACCAGTAGGGGGTGCTCACACTGAATTCTCTGTGGGTCCTAATGCCCCAGTATAGAGATGGGGACACTATACTGTAAAAAGGTACTGTACTTCAGATGAGAGGTAAAACCAAGGTCCTGACTCTCTGTGGTCATAAAAAATCCCAGGGTGTTTTTTGAAAAGAGTAGGGGTGTAACCCCAGTGTTCTGGCCAAATTTGCCATTGGCCCTTACCCATCATGGCCTCGTAATAACCCCCATCTCTGAACTGGGTTCATCACTCTGCTCTCCTCCCCACTGAGAGCTGTGGTGTGGGGAGTGTACTGGTGCACTATGGCTGCCGTCGCAATATAAAAAGTGCTATGTAAGTGTAAGGTATTATTATTATTATTATGATTATTATTATTATTATTATCATCATCTTCTGGAAAGAGCTGAGGTGGAAGCTTAGTATGAAAGGCTCTCCTGTAGCCAAGGACATCAGAGTGAATGATGAAAGCTGAGATTCCAGCTGTAAGGGTGGAGACTAACTTGAAGTAAATTTTGTGAAGACAAAGAAGCTGAAGAATTGTGTGGTGAGCTCCTCCACTGTGGGGATTGGGTGCTTGTCTGGTATAGCAGCTTTGTTCACTGCGTTCAGGTCCACACAGATTCACAGGCCTCCTGTCTTCCTCCTGGTCACTACCAGAGTGGATACCCATGGGGAGGCATCAACCAGTTCAGATGGTTGGTGTGGAGGAGGGGCTGGAGAGGCAGAGAGGCAGCCGACACTCTGAATGTCACCAATGTTGTATCGTGAACCAGGCACAGACTATATGAATACATTTGGCATACAATGTTATAGTGGTCTTTGACCACGCTCCAGATATCACTGAAAAACATTTCTCAGCACAAGCCTCCTTTGAACCCTTGGGGCAATTAAATATTATTGCTTTCAGATAATGACTTTGTTAAATTTGTGAATCACTAGATCTTTCCTCTTAGATATTAAAAATACAATTGACAGTCTAAAGACACTCTTTGGGAACCCTAAAAGCATCAGTGTGAGTCAGATGATTTTATACTCAATGCTAAAAAAAAATAAAAAGAAAGGAGAAATGGAACTTACTAAACAATGCTCAGCTACTCCCACTCCTCAGTGGCTTAAGGAACATCTAAAGCTGAGAACTGAATTTGAGAACTGAATACTCAGCACCCATGAAGTCAAATCTCTTGATGAAATTCCCTCCACATTCTCTCAACATAGTGTCTTCTGGGAAATGTCTGGCACACCACTTGCAGCAGTGATGGGCACCACAACTAATTTCTGGGATTTGGGCTGAGAACAGTTCTGTCACCACAGATCCCAGTTATATTAATGAGAGATTTAAACACTATTACTATATTCACCCCAGAATCCATTGTTGATATCTACTAGCTGGATGCTTGTTCCCCCAATTGCTACTGATTTAAAAAGCAGTCTTAACAATCCTATCTCAGTGTGTGAGGTGATAGAGGTGATTAAGCCAATACAATCTGGAAAGCCTTATGCGCCTTCTCCTTCTGCTCCCTCACTGTCAGGTGAAAAGTCCTTCATGAACTGATCGTCAGCTCAAGGTATTTTAGCTGGTTGTGTTCCAGTGTGGCTTTCAATGTAAAGTGGGGCCTGTTTTCCTGAGATCTGTCTTTCTTCTTTAAAACCATGATTCTTGTCTTGTTCAGATTGTTGATGTCCAGGTTTGACAGTACTACTCCAGTAGTGCTGGACTCTGCTGTAGCCCC